TCGATATTTTTTTATTCGCTAGTTAGAAAAATTAATCCCGGTGGAAATTGATCTCGTAAATTGGTTATTGTTTTGAAAATTATCACTGTCCATACACATATGATAAAAGTCGTAAACTTAATTTATCTTCTATTTACTCCACAATTCCCTATTCGATTTTTGAGCGAGTTTCTTTAATTTTATTTATAATTTTAAATAATGAGTTCCAGACATTCATTAACATTAAGAGAAAGACACTTGGCTGTTTGGAATTGAATTAGGAATAAGAAAACGTTTTACCAAGAAATATCAGTTCGTCACTAATGGCATTAATACATATGTTTAGTGCAGTAGGATCGAGTAATTCATGTTAAAATGAAAATTATGTTATCTAGAAGGGCAAACATTGAGCTTTAAAGACTATAAAATTTAGATGGTAATGCAAGAGCAGCTTTTTGTGCCTTAAGCCGCTTCTAGTCTCTCCAGTTTACAAATCCTTCATAAGTACAGTGTGTGATGAGTAAATTGCCACCATTTTATATTTTTAATTTCGCGCATGCGTGTTGATTTTTTATTTAGTCGACTGAACAGTATAGCAGGGTTAGTAATTTGGAGACGGCATGCTGTACTGCTTAGCATTTGTGCCGGAAGCTTCAATACGAACATCTCAGAGTGTTTGTGTGTCAATCTGAGGACAGTGCAGAAAATTCGAAAAGAGTTGGATGAATCTAATGGTGTTTACGAAGGTATGGCAGCTCGGAAAACTCACTCTGATCGTTCTGATAAGAAAAGAAATCCCGAATGTGTTGCCGAGGGCCTCCGACTTAACACAGAGGCCTACATCAAGTGTCTCGAGTAGGTAGTGCTGTGCTGGAAGACGCTTTGTCTGGCAACACAACTTTGCATCATGCCACACAAGCAGGAGAACCCATTCATGCGTATCAGACAATTTCTGCGACCCCATCAGCCCTTAAATCTGGCCACCTAACTCTCCAGACCGAAACTCTTTTGATTAATATGTGTGGGGCACATTTGATCGAGAGACAAACAAAACTCCTTTAACACCAAAGATGAACTGAAGATAAGGATTATGGAAAAATTCCCCAACTTAAACAAGGAGACCATCCTGAAGATTTACCAGAGATTCTGAAGTCGTTAGGAAGCCGTCGTCGAAGCCAGTGGCGATTTTACTGAATCGATTTATTCTTTAGTATTTCAAGATTGTGTAATTTTAGTAAATATAATTGTTAAAATGATATATCTGTCTTATTTTCATTTTTGTGTATTTTTAGACAAATTATCGCACGCTGTACATATGGACGTCAGACTGATATTCATGCAATAGTCTTACCCCTCAGACTCGACGTCGTTGAAACGATCCAATGGAAAGTTCCAGTGACGGAGTTGCCAGGATTTTGCTGAAGACACACAGGGACTTCCTTCGGGATTCCAACTCCAGATTTAAAAATACATGACGATGAGATGTTTAAAACAACATGATTCCATGTAGCCATAATTCTTTAAGCATTTATCTACGTAAAGATAACACTCAATTTCTTTAATCGATTATATACGGTATTATGATCACGACATGCCCTCTCCCCGTTTCTAAAATAATAAAGCAACAATATTTACGGTGTAATGGATTCTAACCTACAAAAAATATTAACCGGAAAAATTTCTTTGTTTTTTTAGGAGTGGACCGTTGTATTTCAGTAGGATCGATTTCGGTACAAAAATTATTGCAATCCCAATCCTTATGGAAAAAAAAAGATAAATAACGTTTAGTAGTGAATGAAAATCACCCTTTTGTTTCTATTGGATATTCCATGGTGTTTTGTTCTAATGATCTAGCGTTTGTTTTAGCTAGTCACTTTCTCCAGCGTTCTGTTAAATATATTGTTTCTGTAATTAGAATAATGGACATATAACTGATTTCTCAAGTGTAAAACTAAGCAAACAGTTGAAATCTTGGAAACTAGATTTGCTTCTCACTAGATTGATATTACAAGCCTCGCCGACTCGTTAATTTGAGGTACAGAACGAAATATTTTCTAAAATCAAAGGCAGTTTTCTCTCAACAACATCTCCGTGTTTGTTTACGAGCATCATTAATATTTAGCCAATTTAGCCGGCATATTTAGATCTGTCTCCTCTTTGACCGACACTGCATCTACCCGTGGGCGGACTTGTTATCAAAATGATCAGGCATAATTCCCCAAGGTACTGCTTGCTTGCTCCTCCTCCATTTTCTGCCCAAGCTGATGGATTGTCGAGGTTCAGTTAAAAAGTTCGAGAATCGATCTTTGGCCTTTTGCCGACGTCTGAACACCAAGAGGCTGGCATAACATTATGAAAAGTCGTTGGCAAGGCAGAAGCTGCGACGGCATTAATCTGCAGGATAGGTTAAGGAGCGTGTCATCGGGTATTTGAGCTGATTAACCCAACAGTAAAATCGAAATATTCCCCATATATTTATCAGGGTAATAAATATCCATAACGATAATTACTCTCGGCCGTAATTAATAAAACCACAAAAAAGATTAATTCGGCTTTTCTTCATTACTTTTAATTGGTGGTCATTTATTGTGTTTTATAAGTGATTCAAATTGGGTTTATGTACGATAATATAAATCATTATAATTATCAGTTTCATGACCGATCAGAGTCTTAGGGTCACTGCGCAGCTAAGAACCTAAAGAGTTACTTCTACACATCTCGGTTAAAACCGTAGATTTATTCATTTCCAGATATCGTCTTGGGTCAGTACAGCTGATGGCGGCCATCCACAGCCGATTCACTCCTACTTGAAGGTTTGCCATGGTTCAAGAATCCGTGGCCGATGATCACATCGAGGGAATCCTGAATTCAGATAATATAATATCAAATCTTTACTTAATTTTCATCGGTGTACTTCCTGAGAGCAATGAATAGCTTGTTAATTTTAACGCTTCCAAAACAAAACTTCTCTTTATTAATCATCTGAGAGACTCAACCATGTTGATGTGTGACATCGCATCAACATCGTTGATGATAATCTCTAGGAGAATGACTCATTGTATCTTTGGGGGCTAGATTATACTGATAGGTTTGCTGCTTAAGAATGGTGGTTCCCTGTGTCATACTAGACAATTTTCTTCCCTGAATCTATCGTCCATGTTTATAAGTGTACCATTCGTCCATGCTTTGAATATTACTGCCATATATGGCCCTGTTCTCCTGTGATATAGTTAGAAATTCTTCATAAAATCCAAAGAAGAATCAGCAATATTATTGGTCCTGTCTTGGCTTCAATCACTTTCCCACCGCCGTAAGGTAGCATTCCTATGCCTTTTCTATAAATAAATTCATCGTAATTGTTTGGATGAACTCTCCACTAAATATAGATGTAAATTCTATGCTAAACATTTTTTCTCGCTTGTGGAAGTCCCTTCCGGCTCCATGCTTTGCAGCCAACATGGGTCCTCAAGAATAGAATATAATGTCAAACGTTATATACTGTATTTACTTTTCATTACTATTCTATTATTCTTCCTCTTTAATAAAATTTCTGTTTTTCTTATTCTTTCACACTCAGTAACCCTTGTGTCTTAGTGGCTTTATTGCCTTGCATGGGATGGACAACAGCCTACTTTTCTAAAGTACATTAGAAAATTTTCGAAAAGAACTCACAATACATGACATTTAAAAAAATGACTTCATAAAACTGTTTGGAATTAAAACATCGAGCTCATTTCCCATGTAAATAGTAATAAAGTAGCGAGTGACTTGCGACATTGCATCTGTGAGTAAATTTGCATCTGTGAGTAGAAAATAAATCATCCTATACAAAATTGCGAAAATGATGTTGAACTCTGTTAAAGCTAGAAAAGTGGACAGTTCAATATATCGCATATGACTCCTTCTGGCATGTATCGTAACAAGTCAGATTAAATCGAGTATTGCTGTCATATCCTTGCTGGAGAGGCACAATCCCCATTTTCCAGCCTTGATAGTGTTCAAAATCATTTATGCAATCTTCATTCATTCATTCTGTACTCGGTTTTTATGGTTTATTTTATTGACAGTATATCAGCATCAAAGGTTTATTTAATGCCGACAAGATTTTTAAGATAGGTTCGTATGAAAAGAATATGTATTCTTTGTAAAAAAAATCAGTTTGTAAATGAGATTACATTAAAGTATTTTTGTAAAGAGGGCTTTTGTCGAGAGTCAAATGTATTGCTGGTAATATTTTATTTTTTAAAAATGCATTGCTGGTAATATTTTATTTTTTAAAAATGCATTGCTGGTAATATTTTTTCAAATGTATTTCTGGTAATATTTTTTCAAAAATGTATTGCTGGTATTTTTACTATTTATACATTCATAGTGTTTTGACCCCAGTTTTCCCATAGCCATAACTAACAGGTGCTACCGCCTGGTTAAAGAGTGGATCTGGGAACAACAGTAATTAAGAGCTGGTTACACGCTCCTAAAAACTCCCGATCAGAAACCTAAATATTATGAACACAGTTGCATGGCTTCAAATACAGATAAAATTTATTCTTCGTAATTCTGTGTTAAAATGTAATTGTTGATTAATCTACTATAAATGTGTATTTTGGTAATATTTGTATATATAATGTATTGCCGGTATTTTTACTATAAAATCTATTTTTATACTTTCAGTTTGTTTATGTGTTCACTGTTTGACCATAGCTGAGACTCTGACAGATGCAATCACCTCGGGTAAGGTGAATCTGTGTACAAAAGTAGTTCGACGTCCCTCAAAACCTCCAGTCTCTCGATCAGAAGTGTTGCTACAGTTTATCGTCATACCCAAGACTATTTTGGATTGTTCCTTACAGTGCCCAGTGTTTCCAAAGCAGTCTCCCATTTAATTACTGACCGGGCGCGACGTAACTTAACCAAGACTATTTTGGATTGTTCCTTACAGTACCCAGTGTTTCCAAGCAGTCTCCCATTTAATTACTGACCGGGCGCGACGTAACTTAACCAAGACTATTTTGGATTGTTCCTTACAGTACCCAGTGTTTCCAAGCAGTCTCCCATTTAATTACTGACCGGGCGCGACGTAACTTAACTTCGGTGTTCGAACCAGAATCATTATTTTCAGCGTGATTTGACCGTAAGCCCAAAAGTTACAGCCAAAGTGATTTTTTCTAATAAATACCATTTTTTTAAAAAAAGATTCCTGCGCGGTTGCTTACCTGAATACAACAATTTTAACCCCTTCAAGTCAAGGGTCAATCAGTATCTATCGTCGTTGTTCTCATAATCTTACTACCACCTCTTCTTTAATACATATCGCAGAGCTCATTCATTTGAACTGTAACGCTCTACTTGAGTTCAAGTAGATAGGCAATTCATCTGAAGATGTTAAGATTGTAGCGTTCAGCGAAACACCCACGAGAGAACCCGTTCCAAAAAGTAGAAATTCTTGGGAAACAAGATGTCTGAGTGGGATTTTCTCATAACAGAATATGGAGGAAATAACTCCGTATACGTAGCATGGATAGTAGTGGCTGTGATGGTTCCAAATGATGGAACTAAAGTAGGGATTTTATTTGAACATTTTCAATGCAAACATCGATAGTATAACGATAGACTCTTGATGTTACATCTGTGACAAATACGTTAACCTCTACAAAATAGCATAATTTTGAACTCTATTTAGGTTGGAAAGTGGGGATTAAGCTCAGTTATAACAGCAATACTCCATTTAAGAAAATCTGAACAGACACTTGTGAAGCCTTACACCGTTTGAATGAGTGAAGCTAACAAAATACACTTACATTATATTTCTGAAGAATATCACATTTCTGTGTGTTTATGTAAACAGTAATGAAAATATTCATAAGTGAGGTAAATGTCAATTCATTGAAGTAATAAGATCAAAGTTTATATCTATAAGCGTTCGTTTAGTCATCTGATCAGCCAATTTAATCTGTTGAAGGGGTGAGCGTATAAGCTGATATCTTCTTTGTTAAATAGTTGTATCCATTGAGAAAATGACCAATGATTAATCTAAAACAATCAAATAACATTGTGCTGCTATGTACTATACAGATAGAAAAGGATAAATGGTGATTAAAATAAGTCCGTTTAAGAATGAGTTGTCATTTAATTTCCTCTGTAACATATCAACGGTGATAAATCAATACGATCAAAGAAAATTATTAATAATACATGGAACATCTTTTATCCTTCTCTCTGAAGTTGTTGAACCGACTCTTAAAATTAAAAGCAGCGGTCCCATTAGCAATACTGACTGTGAATAATTATACAAAAGGGAACTTGAAATATAGGAACATTAATAGTGAGGTAAAAAAATTCATTAAAACAAATTCAAAACTGCGTGATTAGTGATGTGAGTAAGAAAACCAAAAAATATAAGTGAAAATTTTAGAGGTAATTAGAAGCGATAGTAAAGGCACATTTATGGATATGTTTACGCTAAAGAAACGCAAAAAGGAAAAATGATGTTTTTTTTTTTGTATTTACTCTCAAAATTCAATGCCTGAGGGAAAAATATATCTAAGTAAAAAGAGGCAAAGACGGGAAACAGTAAATAACGTCTCTGAAAAACAAAAAAAAAAAAAGATGGAAGCAAAACTGAATGCAACAAGCCAACTCTAAAAGAATATAACAATACGTATGACCGCGAAACCTGTGCAGATGAGTTAGATAGACGCTCTCACCTTAAAGTAGAGGTTGTCGTAGAAAATGAAAGCAATAAAATACTTTGGGACTTCTTGGAGACAATACTGAATTTTATCATCGTAAACAAAGAAATGAAGTGCTACCAGATAATGAACATGTCTCTTCAAAGGAACCATAGGGAATAATTATAAACAATGAAAGCAATACAAACATTTATCTTGGAAGTGTGAAACGTGAAATTTAGTGATGTCCCTGTAGTAGATGGAATACTTGGAATAGTACCAAATTGCAACGGGCAAGTTTGGATGAATTATGATTTTGAAGAGGAGTTGAAACTGCTCAAACAAAACCATTCCTGCCGTTGATGAAAAAATTAAGAAATGTTATAGAGATTTGAGGAGACTTGCTACCAATCGATTTAATTAACTACTAAGTATCAGATGTTTAAATGGGAATCCATGAAATAATAATAATAATAATAATAATAATAATAATAATAATAATACTTATTATTATTATTATTATTATTATTATTTTCAGTATTCACGCACACGATAAGCCCGATGGGAGTCAAAGACCCCTACTTTTGATAAGATATCTCTGAGTAGAGTTTGTTTTCTTGAGCCTTGTTTGGCAGTCCACCTCGTGTCGGTGTCACGACCAAAATACACTAGGGTAGGCAGGAATCACCCTATATCAACCAATTCATTTGTACAATGATGGAAATAAATAATGAAATAATAAACTGCCATGGTTGTAAATCCATCGATGGAATCTCCGAGGGTGGGGTAACTGCAGGAATCACGCAAGGTCGGGCACGTCAGGCGGAATGAAAAGCGAGACACCTGCCGGTCATTATCCTACCAGTTGTAAATCACAAAAGAATTGAGCTGATCTGTATTAGCATAGAGCGTCAAGAAAACGTAATGAAGAAAGAGGAAGATGGCGAAGGTAGAATGAGAATAATAAAACGGCCCCGAAGTCCCATATGCTAGCTTTATCGGGTGGAAAACATGGCATTGCAGCTCGTTCCCTTGCTCAGTGGAAAGAATTAGAAATATTTGAGAGCTCTGAAATAAATTTAATTGGACAGATTCGGAATATACTGTAGCAATATGTGTCCGCCGAGGGCTTGTTAAAACGAAAACAGTAGGACCTGTCGCAAAACTGGATACGAAACTTTTACTTTCGACTGAGGGTTCGTAAGTGGAGTTAACTTCAAAGTACAGAGGAAGAGACTCAGGGAGAGGGAATGTCACGGAATGAAGATAAATAACATTTTTAGATGACGATTACAAGACAAAAAAAATGCTGTCTGTAAAACTGAGCACCCAGCGAAAACGCAAACAGAAAGACCGATGTGGGCCTCGTAGAACTGACTGAGTGGACAGACACAGAACTGTGCACCTCCCCGCTCACCTAGGCCTCAACTCTTCTTCGTTGGCTTATAGCAGTAGGTTACAATCCAAGAATAAAATTTGGTTTACTGCTAGAAACTGTTTTGTTCTTCACTCGTGGGTAACAATCTTGCCGAAGGGTAACTTTTAACCCACAAGCGTTTGACTGTAAGAAACGATCCTGGTGTCTGTTATGAGTTGCAACGCAACACTACTGAATAGTATCTGATTCAATGCAGAGGTGGATGGCATCAGGTAGGAGTTATACCAGGAACAGCAGATCAAGTTAAGATTGATTTAAAAGAGTTGCTTGAAGCCTTATGCGGTGAAGGCGACAACTGGGTTGTTTTTTAACGCGAAGTAGAGATTGCCTATGCTGGAGTGCAGGCGGATATTGCGGTGGAAGCTCTGATTATCCCTGTACGATGTCAATACTCTTAGTGATGCAACAATAGAAATTGAAATATGGTTGACTGTACAATGTCTCTTTGAATATTGTTGGATGATGAAAATGCTGCCATTGTGGTACGCTTACGCGTGTTCTATGCTGATGTTGAAGTTCAGATTCCTTTCAATCTTCGATACACTAACAGTTGAGTAGACAGCAAAAGTAAATGTCGCATTGAAGCATTTGAAAACGGATAATATAATTGATATCATAAAGCTTCTTTACGCTGCTGAGTATTTGATAGGAGAAAGGGTGGGAGCTAAGCAAAGTTCAAAGAAAGCGAGAAGACAACCATAGTGGAAATGGACATCTGAAGGTGATATAAGGAAACTAAAGAGAACTTTGACTAAGATAGATACATTGTACAGCTAGGAGAACACGGGGTGGGGGTGAAGGACAAGCATAGTGAAAAAGCCAGAATTCAAAGAATCTATAAAAAGAAGTTCAAATTCTTCAAAACAACTCTGGAAGAGATTAGGCTAAGGATAAGAAATAAAAAACAAATCATATCAAGTGATACACAAACAGAAAAAAAAGCGGTTTCTACTAAATAGGCTTTTTCTACAAACCAGAAAATATTCTTTCAATATTTCACTTTAGGCAATAGAGACTTCGGTCCACGAAGCTCGTAATACGTTACAAAATTCTGGTTAGACGTCTGGTATCACCCGATAAAGCTAGCATATGGGACCTACACACATACAAGATATTAATATCATGACAAAGGATGTTGAAGATCGTATTAGCACAATGCTAAGCTGGGAAGTCCGTAGTCTAGATAGAATTCAACGATTTGGGCTAAAGAAATTTTCCTACCTGCATGACAAGATAAGTCAAGCGTTAAATGAGTGGATGCCTGAATGGATGGTGAAGGGAAAACAACACTCATTATGAAGAATAAGAACAAAGGTTCTCATGACAGAAATTACAGACTAATTGCATGGCGGAAATGGAAACTGTTAACTGTAAAAAAAAAACAACAACAAAAAAAACAACTTATTAACCTCTCTTGAGAAACAGCCAGCAAAAAGCCTCCGAAAGAGATCTCTGGGGACTGAAAACAACTTTTCATCTCTATACTTGAGAAAGGGTAGTGGAGAAAGATCATAAACGTATGACAAACGTATTTTTTTTAAATTTTATATTTGAAGGATTAGACAACCGAGGCGATATTAGGGTCATATATAATTGGGACTATTTTCAATCGAAGACTGAGTGAAATGTGCTGAAGGAATTTCTAACTAGGCTTCACTTGCAAGATTATGCACTACTTTTATTATAACCTATTACCATAACAAACACATTTAACTATAATGAAAGCACCTGTTATACTCTAACCATATTGGGTATCATGACGCGTATATTGTTTTTCCTATATTCGTAGCCCAGCGACACTTGATTGCCGTGCTGCTTCCCTATTCAATTAAAATGACACTGTTGAATTCAAAGAGAATTCTAAGACTTGTTATCAATCTATCTATAGCACTAACCATCTCTGAAAGCATATAAAATAGTAAACGCAGGATCAAGATTCTATATCACATTATCAGTTAGTGCAGTCAGTTAGCAACGATAGAATATGCAAATAGATGTTAGAAACTAAGGAAATTTGTTCACTGGAAAT